CCTCTCTCTCGTGCTGGGCTGGCGGGAGTAAATGTTGGGCCACGCTAGTTGGGCCGCGGTGCTTTGTACTGGGCTGCTGAAAAATAGGTTGGGCCATTTGCTAAGCTTCTTCTAGGGCTGCAAGGTGTGGGCTTTTCTGTCGTGCTGAGGGGCGGAGCAGAATCTGCTAGGTGGCGCGCAAGGAGCTGCCATACGCCGGAAAGAATGGCGCCGGCAAGAGCTCGCCATTTTCGGCGAAGGTGACGGGAAATAAGTGCGCCTTAATGAGTACAATACATCTATTCCCGTAATATGTCGAACCGGCGGAGCCGGGCCGGCCCATGGCCATGACTAGTACTCTAAACCCGTAATATGTAAACATGAACGTGCATACAATACATCTACTTTGATTCACTAAAACATGTGCACCTCTACTTTGATTCACTAAAAAATGAGGTCATTTCTATTGGACTAATAGTCTAAGTGAGATAAATTCACAACTATGAGAACTAATAAAAAAATACGACTCTATTAAAATTAAAAATATATTTTGTTATTTATTAAATATGATTATGATTATATTATTTAAATTATATTAAAAATAAGTGTATATTAAAAATAACAATTCTATATCCTTTTAAAGATTTGTTGCATGGGTTGATGTTAGGTTGACTATTGTAAGATATGTGGGAAAGTAGTTTGGGTGATATCTGGAAAAAATCAAATTATTGAGGAAGCTTTCAGGTTGGATGTTTCTGGGTACATTAAGTTTTCCTTACAAAAGTTTGTTGTTGTCCTAAACTTTCTTTTGGGACGTTTGTTTAGATTCAAAGCTTAATTATCAGACGTTCCATAGGGACTTAATCGTCCTTCTGGGACGTTTATTTGACTTCCAAGCTTAGCTCCAGGACGTTTGTTTTCACAATAGAGCTTCCATGCTGGATGTTTGCTTGGCTACCAAGAATAGCTTCTGGACGTTTGCTTTCATAGGCAAGCTTCAATGAAAAACGTTTGGTATGCTTTAAAGCTAACTCTTGGACGTTTCACATGGCCTCAAGATTTCCAGTTAGATGTTTAGTTGACTTTCAAGCTTAGCTCCTAAACGTTTGTTTTCATAGTGGAGCTTCCATGTTGGATGTTTGCCTGACTTCCAAGCTTAGCTTCTGGATGTTCGCTTTCATAGACAAGCTTTGATGAAGGACGTTTGGTATGCTTTAAAGCGTAACTCTTGGCTGTTTCACATGGCCTCAAGCTTTCCAGTTAGACGTTTAACGGCAGAATAAGCTTGCAATTTAAAAGTTTTAAATGTGTTGCCCCTTCTCATTTAGACGTTTCTCTTCAGAATCGGGCTTCACATTTTGACGTTTCCTTAGCTTCCAAGCTTAGCTCTTGGACGTTTGTTTTCGCAGTTAGACTTCTTTGCTGGACGTTCTATTTGGCTGTCAAGCTTAATTTCTAGACGTTTCTATGGTTTAGGAGCTTAGTTGATAAACGTTTGGATGCATTTTTTCAGTAACTTTTTTTTTACCACAAGGATATTTTTATAAATTTATAATTTTTCAATATTTTTTTCGAACGATAAATAGTAATTTGGGACCACAAATAACAACACCCCGTAAACCAGAGGTTTGATTTTCTATGTTTTTCCAAACTTGGTTTACAAATATAATCAGGCTTCTTTACATATTAAAACCTCTCCAAATGCTCCCACTAAAGATGCCCTTAAAAAGCTGATAAATAAAATAAGAATAAAAAGAATGACAAAGAAGTGCATTGAACGTGAAACTGACGATTGAATTCCTAATAATGGAGTGTAAACACGCGCAAGGAAGTGAGTGAAGGAGAACATGCCCACATCTGACACATTTTTTACAATTAAATAACAATCTTCTTCCTTTTCTTCATACAGTCACAGTTTTTTCCTTCTTTTACATACAGCTCCCATGGATTCCTCCTCTTTTCATCGTTTTTCGTCACTAAAAATTATGTCCACTTTGAATTCCTGCAATTACAGCACAAGGTGCTCCACTAGTTCATTTGCGAGGAGGCCCTCAATTGCTGAAGCAAACTCCGCCTTTTCCTACAAAAAATTTGTCAAGTTGGCTCTCCAAGAAACTGGAAAACACACGCAGTTAGTTCCTTCTCCCTTACAGGTGCGAGCGACCCCATTGCCTTAATCAATTCAACAAACTGAAAAAAATAGACAGCAGCTGTGTTAATTTTGAACAAGTGTTTTTCTTGTAAATACCTTAATTTTGCAGGCGATTGAGCTTACGAGAGCTTAGTGTAAGAAATTTAACGGGTATATCCATAACTATTAGGCGGAATTGAATAAACCCTAAGCATGTAATTCTATCAATTCATAGAACATGGATCTTTGCATAAATTAAATTGCACATAAAACTTACAAGAACTCAGTTATAGTCCTTCCATGTTCATCTATGATGTTGATCTTTCTCCAATCTCCAATCCTCTTCCTCCAATCTCCAATGATGGATTTGTCTTTCCCTATGAATTGTTTCTCTCTCCCACGTCTCTCGTCTTTCCATAAAGCCCTTGATGTTGAGAACTTTATTTCGTATGAGATGGGAGAGAGGGGTATGTAGTATATATAGGAGGAGAAGACTTAGAATCCTAATCATACTACCATTCCCCATGTTCTAAGGTAACTTAATATCCAAGTTAAACATCACACATTGGACTCTTTAATATTAGAACATTAAATAATCTATTAAATACATATTCATCTATAATAAAGTTTGACTATTAATTCAATTAGGTCCAACTAATTATATGGTCCACAATAATAGAATAATATATAAAATATTATTACACTTAGTTGTTCTGAATTTTTGAAGAAATTTTTCAGGTTTTAGCTTCTAAGCTTTGCATTTTGAACTGGGGTAGTGATCTTCAGATGTGCAATTAATATACTTAAATTTGTTATAATTATTGTTCTTTTTTCATGAGTTTGGGGCTATGGGAGAGAATCCATAAGTAAAATGTTAATTAAATATTCAAAAATCTTAATTATTGTTCTTTTTCATGAGTTGGGGGGCTATGGGAGAGGATCCATAAGTAAAATATCAAATATTCAGAGTTCTCAAGTGGGTTTAAAGATCTTTATAAAATTTTCATAGTCTAGCCCATGATTTTGGTATGAATTTGCATGTTGTGTTGTTTCTAGTGGAGTATTTAATAAAGCTTGTGTATGTTTTGAAAGAATACAATTCAAGGAACTCTTCTTTTTTATCGATTTTAAAAAATCCTATCTGTATGAAATTGTACCGTTTTATTTCTATGTGCAGTGCTATGTAATGCGAAAATGATGTTTTGGATTATAAATATGGTGCACTAAGTACGTGCAGGAGGACTTCAGTTGCTTGACTGCCATTGATGGGAAAACAGAGCTCCAAATGCACTCTTTTCAATCACCTAAGATCAGACTGTTGAGGAGTTTATCCATAGAAGGGAGGAGTGATGGGATGCAGGTTTGTTCATATACCTGTTTGCATAAATAAATGTTTGTCTATTATCATAAATCATTCTTATGTATAACTTGCAGGTCCTCGATTTTGCCATCTTCCCGAGAATGGAATTTAGTCTTCCAATTTTTTGTGCCAACTTTTTCACCACGGCAGTCATGAATATAATTGTGTTGTGAGCTACCTTTTTTCCCATCTACTTAACAAATTAAGTTTTATCCTTGTGAAAATGATAATATGTTCAGTTGATTTCTCCACCAAAGTTAGGGTCTATCCTTTCTTCTTGAGTCTAATTTGTCTTCTTTTCGTTCTTTCTGTTTGAGGAAATTCGTCGAATCATGTCCCCCAACTAATGGAAGAGAAATCATGAGCCAACTATTTTTTATTCCAAGAATCAGGAATTTCAGTATATGATCACAACTTTTTAGAGATCGATTTTTATCTTGTTTATTTCAGTAATTGGGCTCTTGATCCCATTCGTTTATAATATCCATCAGGGTTAGGGCTAGGACTCTATTCAAGTGGACTAGCTTTTGATACCTAGGATATTTTTTGTTGAATAGGATTGTAAGCTTTAAGCTTGGACAGGAAGTTTCTTCCCTAAGTGTCGGCCTTCGGCTAGGGGGATCCGACCAAGTTTTTTCTTAATTAATAAATAATATTGATTATCTATTATTTTGTTTGCTTTCACCTTAACGATATCAGAACTGAAAATGCATTAATGTCTAACACACAAATTTGGAAAATACAAATTTATTTCTGTAAATGAACCTTATTGGATAAGGACTTGCATTTGTAGATGATCTTGAGTTTCTCTAAAGTCTACATAACCTTGTATGATATCTTATCATGTCTTGAGGTTCTTAGTGTTTCTTTATTGTCGATTTAATGTTCCTAACTAGAAATGCAACTCGGCAGTGGTACTAATTTTGTGATTTTTTTTTTTTTTCGTCAACTTCATGTGCTTTGCATCTGCTCTTTGAACCAAAGGATTGATAGAGATTGTAGGACATTTTGTTGAATCATGTTATTGTTAATCAGTCTTCACGTTCCGTTTCTGTGCTTTATAAGAATTTAATGTCATTAGGGACCTCAATCCATTGCACGATGTCATCAATCAACGAGAGTACAAGGAAAAGTATTATAGGCACTTAATTTCTCTTGGACTCAAATATGCTGAGGTGACATTGCCTTGCACTTTTTGCAACTTATAATTAGTCCTGCTATGCCATCTAAAATGAGATGTGGTGATTTAACACATAATTCATGCAGCTTTTGCCCTGGGGAGGAAAGATTACAGCCGAGTCCTTGAAATTTTTCTCACCAATTGTGATATGGACCAAGTTTCCTCCAAGTCAAGACAAGCAACACATATTATATTCTGCTTTCAAGGATTATCTCAAGGTACAAATTGATCTAGTTAATAATGTTATGTGCTGACAGAATAGTTGCAAATATGACTAGAATCATATGCCGAAAATGCACATTTCTAGGTGGGTGTTTTCATCTGCACAGTTGAGAATGGGTCGAGTTCGGGTGTTCCTGGGAATTGTTGTTAGATGACGTCAGGTTGTAAATTGAAAATATAAAAATATACGATGAAAAACACAATTTTTTCTTTTTCTTTTTTTTTTCAAATTGTTTTCGTTTAAGTTATCATTACATGTAAGACAAAAACTGTTAAATAAACCGTGTGAGACTAATTTGGTATATTGATTAGGCAAACAAGTTATATCTTTTCCTTAAATTTCTAATATGAAATGAATATACAGAATATCATACTACAAAAAAAAAAAATTATTTAGAACTAGTAACCAACGATAAAATAAATGGGTATGCATTGGTGTAAAATTAAAATGTGCAGATTAGGTCTGATTTACATGGGACGGTATGGCCCTTATTATTCACATGCAGTTGGTTTCTATACATACTGTATTCTTAATCAAGAATTTGATCCCATTTGGGGTAAATTTATACAAGCTTAGAAGTGGCTTGATTTTGTTAAGTCCACAGTCATGGCTGGAGTTGATGGAGGCGGCATTGCCAGAAACTGATGTTTCGGTGAATATTGAGTTACAACATAGGTATCTTACATGGAGAGCAGAAAAGGTAAGTTAATAACACCTTTTCATCATTAAGCTCAAACTAAAGTCACATGTTGGTTATGCATGCGAGGCTTTTCGAGTGTTTTCATGGGGAAAATAACTAACTCTTTAAACTATTGTTTGTTGACAAGCTTCATCAACTCATGCTTCAACATTAATTAGCATCCTCTTTCAAAAAAGGAAGGAAAAAAAAAAGGCCATAATCTTTTTGTCTTATTTCTGTCTGGTCAAAATTCTGAAAATCAGGATCCCGGACACCAAGTTCTGACAAGGTTAATTGGCGAGACTCGTGCCAAGGTACATCTGAATCTGAATGTTGTTATGTTATGCATCAAATTTTATTATTACAATAATATTCAAATTACACGTGGATTTCAATAGGAAATAATTCAGAATTTTCTCTTCAACGGGGTTGACGAGCTTGGAAGCAAAACATTCACCGATTACTTTCCTGAGTACAAGTGCGATGACGGGACTGTAAACAAAAGACGCAGTATGATTGGAAAATCATTCGATATTCGGCCATGGGATACGAAAGGAGAATTCATTGGCAACAGTTAAGTAGAACAGGAAAACCTTTCTTTGTAGGCTAGGCTTGGCTTACTTTGTAAGTTGTTAACTTGTCCAACCATATTATATACTGTTGTTACACATCCATCACTTGCTGGTTTCAAATGTTAATCAAGAAATTAAGTGAAGTCTTCATGCATGAGACACACCGTTCACAAATACTTTACTATAAATATTTTTTTTTTTCCCTCAGCCATCCTTCTTACATCAGATTATATTACACAAGTGATTCAAAATTAGTGTCACAGGTCGCCATTTTTGGTCCGTAGGATAATGCAAAAAAAAAAAAAAA